GCAGATCTCCGTGAGTTCCAGGCCAGCCTGGTCTACAAACCGAGTCTAGGACAGCCAGGACAAAAAGAAACCCTGCCTCAAAAACCAACCAACCAACCAACCAAAGACATGGCTAGGATGATACTTAAGGCTACTCTCTAGGCTCCACACACACGTGCGCCTCCACCCTTCCACGCACACACATGCACACACTCTTCTCTTTTTAAGTTCAAGTCATCTTCAGCTAGGTAGCACGTTTGAGACCAGCCTGTGATACGTGAGCGCTTGTCTCAAAATAAATTAAGGAATTAATTAAACACAATCTGTAAACTGGAACGTGGCCTCTGGATTTAACTGGGAACAGAGATCAATGTGACTCTGAACACTTTATTACAGTTATGTACACTGGTCCTTCTAAACTTTCATTTATTTATTTTTAAAAATTCACTATTTGTGTGTGTCTGTATGTCTGTGTGTGGGCGCCCTCAGAGGTCAGAAGGACATTGGATTCCTGGCGCTGTTGTTCCAGGCAGCTGTGAACTGCCTACTGTGGGTGCTGGGAACCCGACTTCAGTCCTCTGAAAGTGCAGCCGGTGAGTGCCCTTAGCCACTGAGCCTTCTCTCCAGCCTCCATGTTCGTGTTGTTGGGTTTGCTTGCTTGCTTGTTTGAAGCAGTGCTGGGATTCAAACCCAGGGCCTTACACACACTAGGTAAACACTCTATCTACCACTGGTCTACATCCCTGACCTTTATTTTTCATTTATGTCATGGGGGAGGGTTCGTCTGATTATGTGTATAAATGTATATATGTGTGTGCACAGGGGCTGGAAGAGGTTGTCAGATCACTGAAGACGGGGCGGGGTTCCAGGTGGTTGTAAGCTGCTTGATGTGAGTGCTAGGGGATGAACTCCGGTCCTCTGAAAGACAAGAGTTCTTGTGTTAAGCCATCTTCCCTTGTTTTTAGGACATACACACTAAGGTGTTATGGAGTAAGAGGAAGTCTCATCTCAGACTTGAGAGTTCAAATGCCTTGACACCTGTATGTGTGGAGACCTGTGGGAGTGTGTGGAAGAAAGGCAGGAGAGGTCAACGTGGCTGAGGAGCTGGGTGAAGGGCACACAGCTCTGCAGGCTTTCTGATAATTCAAAATAAAAAAGGACCAGCCACAGTAAGATTGTAGGTGTGACAAAGGTAAGAGGGGGTAGGGATGCTATCAAGTTACTGTAAGGAACTCAGGAGAGGAAGCAGAAACTGAGTCACAGTGACTTCCTGACAAGGAAAACCTCAGGCAGAGTGAGGGCAGAGCTGATGCAGAAATTCTCCCACAGTGGCTCAGGGAAGTCACTACCAGCTTCCCAGCAGAAGGTACAAATCATCCTCTTAGGGTGGACACAGACATGGAAATCCATTTACAGCCTGGAAGGCCAGCTTAGTCTGGCCTGTCACACGGGTGGCGTGTGGGGACTTGCTTCTTGCCTCCTTCCTACATACTGGCTTGTGGGCCTCCTCCTGCTGCTTGGCTATTTGTTGGGACAGGTACAGGCAGAATGTTTCCTGGGCAGGTAGCACACTGAGGAGATGAGAGCACAGCCCCCAGGCCTGACTCCATATGGAGCTTGCAACACTGATGGGGCCACTTTCCACACAGGCATCCTGAACCTGACTGAGAGGGCAGAGTGGGCGCAGTCCCCAGACACGGTTTGTCGTGTGCCAGGGTCTCTTGTCAGTGTGTTTACTCACTTCCCACAGCTACGAACTGGGCTGATGACCGTGCTGCAGACAGGACACACCGACTGAACGTAGTTAAGCGGCATGCTGGAGGCTCCAGGCTACTGAGGACAGAGCTCTGCCTGGGATCCCGGCCCTCGTGTCACACAGACCCCTGCTCTGTCTGCTGGGCTGGCCTCTGTCACCTGAGGGCTTATGAGAGGACTGTGCCCTCCCTTACAGATCTGAGTCATTGGCACAGTCGATCAGTGGCGGCACACATCAGTCTAATCTGAGCTCTTTCTCAGCTGGAGGGTTCTTTGACCAAAAGGAAGAAAGGCATTCTAAAGTCCCTTGAAATCATACTCAACATTCCTATGTCTGTACAATTAATTCTGTTACAAGAGGCCTATGGGTAACTGTTTGTTCTCTTATTTCTGATATTTACACCCGCTGGGCGGGTGCGGCACTGCTGAGGCACAGCCCCAGCCCTCCTTCTACTTTTGAGGCAAGGTCTCACTAAGTTGCCAAGGCTGGCTGTGAACTCACTCTGTAGCCTAGGCAGGCCTTGAACTTGCAATCTGCCCACCCCCGATTCCCCCAGTAGCAGGGATTGTAGGCCCATGCCTGCAGGATTCATGTCAGAGGTTAATAACCGTGTCAGGCATCAGGTCTGACCCTGCTCTGACGGGAGAGGAGATGGAGTTCTTCAGCTCTCTCTGCTTCAAGCCCCTGCTCCGTGCTCCTGCAGCCTCTGCAGCCCCCACCCTGAGGGGCCTGCTGCTCCCCAGGGCTTGACATCCTATGAGGTAAGAAGCCGCCAAGCAGCAGTGCTGCATCTCTTGTAGAGCAAGAGGCCTGGGGAAGGAGGCCTGGCTCTTTGCCCACAGCACCGTGAGCAGTGCTCAGACCTGATGAATCAAGTCCCTGCAAAAAGTGGACAACAAAATTGTGAGAGAGAAAAATGACTCTTTACACCAGGAAGGTCTGGGCCCAATAGCTTTCAGGTCTTTTGAAATAAGAATTATAAGGACATGGGTCGATGGCTGGAGAGATGGCTTGGTTGGTAAAGTGCTTGCCACATAAGCATCAGGACCTGAGCCTGATCCCTAGAATCTGCCTTAAAAAAAATCCAAGTGTGGTGGCACAGACTTACAATCCCAGCACCGGACAGATAGAGACAAGGGGATCCTTAGGGCTCACTGCCAAGCCAGTGCAGCGCGCACACATGCACATGAGCAGGGGTGGGGTGTCAGGGTGCTTTTAAAGAGCAAAAGAGCATTAGTAACGTGTGCCCTCTGTGAGCCTGCTGGACGAGCTGTGGGCAGGGAGGGGAGCTCAGTCTTCTCAAGCATCTTTCTTTTCTTGCTGTGGGGTGACTTACTTTTGCTAACATGGAAGGGCTTTCACAGAGTTTCTGTTCTCAGCAGAAGAAGGTAAGGGTGCTGGCTATTGTGCCCCTGCAGTGATCCACTCAAAACATTCTATTCTTATTGCTTATCCCGAAAAAGGCCTGAAGGCAAGGAGTTGCTCACCCAGAACAGAAGCATTAGAAAGGAAAAAGGAGAGAAAAGATAAAGGAGAATAATCAGAAGGGGTCTCAGTGCTTCCTCACAGCTGTAGTCAGTTTCCTACATGTGTTCTCCTGTGTGAGCCGCAGTGTCTTCCTATGTGGGTCTTTGGAGGCCTGTAACCTAGTCCAGCCTGTGTCCTCACAGTCCGCCCTGCTCCAGAAACCCAACTTTTCCAAACTCCACTGTCCAGTGACTTCAACAGTGAGTCTAGCTATGATAAAGATCTGGGATAAGAAGTATCACCCTCCTTCATGAATTGTCCCCTGTTAGTCCACTAAGGTCTAGTGGATCCTAGACCATTCCTGACTGAGGGAACTAGGCTGGAGGGGCCTGAAAGTCTGTGAAAAAGCATGTGCATTACATGGATGTGTCCAAGACCACAACTAATACAAACAAATGGAGAAGAAGGGAGAATTTCCCTACAGTAGAATTCCAGTTAGAAAGTAGAAAAATGATGGATTAGATTAGATTAGATGGATTAGAAATGACAGAAACAGTCAACATTTGGCAGTGAGAAGTGCTACAGGCAAGAATCACCAAGCCCTGCTAAAATGAGCCAGCAGAGTCACAAGAGGACATTCTCACCTATTATCTCAAATCATTCTCTGCAGACACTTAATATAAAGAAAAAACCCGTACCTGACAGTGGAGAAGGCTGGCAGGCTTCACCTTAGCCAAGAGTGCCAACAGCAGCAGCTGACTGACACATTGAGGATGGCTTTCTTGCCAAAAATATAAAATCTGGACTTTGTTGTCTGGCTGGCCCCAAACTTGAAATTGTCCTGCCTCACCTCCTAAGTGACATGTTATAGTGTGTGCTATCATGACAGTTCATTAATCGATGCTGTGTGTGTCCTTCCAGCCACTCAGAGAGCTGAGGTGAGATGATCACTTGATCCCAGGAGTTTGACAGCAGCCTGGGCAACATAGAAACTGTTTCAAAGAAAGGGGTCTGGCCTGTGTGCTGGGGGATGGGGGTGAGGCACAAGATCAGGCAAATGGAAACTGATGGCATTTCACAGAGCATCTGAACCATCTGGTCAGTCCTGTATTGATGGATGTCAGGGTTGGAAAGACCAAGAGCACGTGAGGAAGTAGTCAGGAGTAAAAAGGAGCCCACAGCTAGGGGCATGGTGATTAGGTCCCGGGCCAGGACCAGGCTCAATCTTACTTTCAGCTTCTTATAGTTATGTTTACATTAAGATGTTCATAAGCCTGGGGAAAGCTAGCAGAAAATTTTTATGCTAATGTTAACCTTTTTTGACAGTCAAAATTACTTCACAATGAAAAGCCAAATTATAACCGAAAGTACATACTTCAGGGGCTGGGCTTTTACGTCTGGGTGCCTGACACTTCGTGGGGTGACGTGTGGTTGGGGCTCAAGAGCTTAGCACCCCACCCACACAGGGGTGGGTGGGGGTGGAGGTGTTCAGACCCACATGAACCTTTAAACAGCTCAGACAGCTTAGCTTTATAAGGAAAACATGCCAGTGTGGTGACACATGCCTTTAGTCTCAGCGCTTGGGTGGCAGAGGCCTGTGGATCTCTCTGAGTTTAAGGTCAGCAAGGCTACGTATGCTGTCTCAAACAAACAAGCAAATTCTAGGCAAGATAAACAATTACACGCAGAAGACATAATGATAGCCTTGATGAGCCTGGAAGAAGCTGTCCTTGAACAGGACCCAACACACTCAGAGGCTAACACACAGGCAGAAAACAGCACGATGCTTGTCACTCACTTGTCCTGGGACTCAATGTACACGTAGAGGTGAGGCTCGAAACACTTGGAGACGATGCCGTGAAACGGGTTATCGGGGGCTCTGGGCTTCTTTGGCTGAAAAGAGATGAAGGGGAATATGAATAAATACGAGCCATATGTTTGAGCAACCTCTGCAAGATTTTAAGCAATTTCAAAGAAAACACCCAGGTTCACTCTTAGCTCACAGAAAAGAGCTGTGGACACAGGGCTACATCATGCCATGGTCCATCCCACAAGCCACTGGCAGCTTGTCAGTATCTTTGACTCGCTGTGTGCGCTGGAAGATTTACTGCTGCTCTGACAGTAGATGAAGCTTTGATTTAGAAGTTCATCATCAGTGGATGCTTTAAAATTTTCAATCTGGGCTGAACTTTTAACCCTTTGTATTGGTAGTTTCTGCCCAGTGTCATTACTGTTCTTATGCATCTTGATGCTAGATGCCGTCTCTCCTCCCTCACAGCGCTCCTTCAGAGGGTCTTACTGCGACAACTACACAGCCCAGGAAGTGGACCACTGAGCTTCCAGCAGCAATCCCAAAGGCACATGGGAAGCCTTGCTATTTCCTGCAGTCGTCCCCAGACTTTGAACTTTCATCAACAAATAATGGAAGAAAGTGAGAACAGGGAGGCCAACAGAGGCGTTGCCGCCTAGTGTCACATTACAGTCCTGTGGCATGAGGGCATCCTGTCTGAGAAAACATGGCTGGCAAACTTACGGTGGGGGG